AATGCTCTTTTAAAGCACTTATGGGTAATCCTTAAACTCTACTGGATCGAAGGTGCTGCTACGAATCACCAAACAACTCTATCAATGTACAGTGCGTGAATCGGAATCATGAATTGCGGCACCAGAATACAGATCATGGTATATTTACAAATGCATTAGAGAATTCAAGTCATCAAATAGAGCCCTCAACCTCCTTCCTCAATGCCTCCTTGACAATCGCCCCACACATCTTTGCGTACGGATTCGTCTGCACAGCCAACTGCTGGGCAACCTTGTTCCCATACCTCCCTCCAAAGAAGAAATCCCTACTCGCCATCTCCTCCAGTTGATCAGGCCCCAGATCCCGCAACTTATCCGGCCCACCTACCATCTCATTACCGTTCGCATTCTTCTTCAACTTCGCAGCCTTGAGCAACAGATACCCGCGATGCGTATGCGAGTCCGCCAGGATGCGCGCCTGAACCGTCGACACCGGATCAGCAGGTGACCTTGGCGTGCAGAGCGAGATCGCCTTCCCTAGATCGGAGAAGAGGCGCGAGGCCGGTTCAATATTACCCGGGGCGAAGATAGCTTCGTCTGGGTCTGCTGATGTCTCTGTCGTCTTCTCGATGCGTAGGCGGAGGGCCTGAGCTCTGTTCACGTAGGCGGATGGGTAAGTCGGGTGCTCGGTGATTAGGGCGTCGAGGTCACTGATGGCGGAGGTGATGGTGTCCATTGAGATGTTGTCGGATTGGAGGCTGCGGATGATGCTCAGCTCGTGGGCTTTGAGAGACTCGTGGTCGCTCGCTGAGATGTGGAGGTATTCTGGGAATGGGGGGAGCGATGGGTCGATTGTGACGGCCGAGGAAGGGGATGATTCGGCGTCAAAGAGAGCTTGTAGGACTGCAGAGTCGTTGGATGTGAGGGAAGGCCGACTGGCTTGGATTGTAGTGCCTGTGGCCATCTTGTTTGGTGTTTTGATATCGCAGTTGAGAGATGGATGATGCGGTAGTGTCACAGACCGCTGTTCGATGAACAAAACAATTATTCAAGAGGTCGAGCATTGATCTGGAGTCAAGCTTCAGTCTTGAATATGAGCTCATCAAACCAAAAATATAATTATTCATCAATGTGATTAGGATACTCTCGGCTCTTTGAACGCTGTCCATCTGATCGCCATCGTGGCCGGATATTTGTTCAAATACCCGCGTCCTCCCGGGTATCTCATCTAAATACCCGCCCGCAGCCGACTACAGGTTCGTCCGTTTGGTTGAGGGAACATCGTGAATGGATCCCGTGCCTATCGATGCCATCATGATTAATAACGGAAGCTTCAAAGAGGTTGCACACTGGGAGAGGTGGCTTTTATCCGTGCCCGGATGTTTGGTTCACCTTATAAGAGATATGGCTCGTCCGGTCATGAGGATGGTTCAAGCTCAACAGACTAAATCGAGATCCAACAGCCTCTCTAATAGCTTTTATATCGCAGGCTTGTCTCTTACTTGACAAGAGCAGCTTATCATCTCTTCCCACTTGACTTCAACATGGCTCCCACGGCTATCTCTACGAGCCCTCCACCAACCGACCGGCTTTCCTCAAGCCTTGCCAGCTACAGAGGGTATGACCATGTCCACTGGTACGTAGGCAACGCAAAGCAAGCTGCCTCGTACTACATTACCCGCATGGGCTTCAAGCGCGTTGCCTACCGCGGTCTCGAGACAGGATGCCGCAGCGTCTGCTCCCACGTCATTCGCAACGGCGACATCACATTCATCCTTACTTCGCCACTCCGGTCTCTGGATCAAATCGACCGCTTCCCACCTGAAGAGCAGGAACTGCTCAAGGAGATCCATGATCATCTCGAGAAGCACGGTGACGGGGTCAAGGACGTTGCTTTTGAGGTCGACTCGGTGGATTCCGTGTTTTATGCTGCGACGCACAACGGTGCCAAGGTTATTTCTCGCCCTCGGACCCTTGAGGATGCCGACGGCCAGGTGCGAGTGGCGACTATCCAGACTTATGGCGAGACCACACACACCTTGCTGGAGAGGGGCTCGTACCACGGTACATTCCTGCCAGGATATCGCGTGGAAACCGGGGCAGAGGACCCGATCTCTCAGCTGCTGCCTGGTGTTCACTTGAACCGGATTGACCACTGTGTTGGAAACCAGGATTGGGATGAAATGGACAAAGTTTGCGAATAGTAAGTGGCCCGCTTTAGCCACCAGTAGTCCTGATACTGACTGTTACCAGCTACGAGAAGGTTCTCGGTTTCCATCGTTTCTGGTCCGTTGACGACAAGCAAATCTGCACGTGAGCATCATTCGTCCACTGGGAATTACAGCAGAAGACTGACGCGACATGCAGGGAATACTCCGCTCTCAAGAGTATTGTGATGGCTTCGCCGAACGAGGCGGTGAAGATGCCCATCAACGAACCCGCCAAGGGCAAGAAGCAGTCCCAGATCGAAGAATATGTCGACTTCTACAACGGCGCAGGCGTCCAACACATTGCTCTTCTCACAGACGACATCATCCGAGACATTACCAACCTCAAGGCTCGCGGCGTTGAATTCATCAAGGTTCCAGACACATACTACGAAGACATAAAGGTGCGGCTGAAGAAAGCTGGCCTGACTCTCCATGAGGACTTTGAGACAATTCGCAGCCTGGACATCCTCATTGACTTTGATGAGGGCGGATATCTGCTGCAGCTGTTTACCAAGGTATGTCACTTCCCGTTGAGCAGGCAGCCGTAGTCAGTCACGCTAATAGAGAACAGCACTTGATGGACCGTCCCACCGTCTTCATTGAAATCATCCAGAGACACAACTTCTCCGGCTTTGGCGCCGGTAACTTCAAATCGCTCTTTGAGGCCATTGAACGGGAACAGGCCCTCCGCGGCAACCTTGTATAGGACTTTTGATGTTTTCCGTTCATTCGTATCTTTGATTTCTGTTGGATACCAGGCATGTAGCATTGCATTGTACGTAGCGTTTGTTGATAAAATGAAACTGGCTTTAGTTCTTTCAGTGTTGGACGAAAATTCAATGATCCATGCAGTCCTTTACCGCTGTCGTTTGTAGACTCTTCACCGTCAGATATGTTCAAGGAATCATTCACAGCCAGACTGAGAGGCCCAAAATCATTCACTGCTACTATATTCCTTTCAACCTATAAGACCTGGAGCTTTCCTCCCACGAATCTGTTCTTGACCGGTCCTACCATCAGGTAGACAAAGGACAGCATGACAGAAATAATGCTGTCCTCACCTATCTTCTGTTGAATTGAAGATGACTTGGTCAACCCTTGTATGCATCCGCTCTATCCTCTGGGGTTCTCACTATGCACTTACCGACGTTCCTGACACTATTGTTAGGGATACAGAGCCTGAGGCAACTACAACGACCATACTTCCGACTATGTCAGTACATAAGCGCAGTATCTGCAAATACACCGTGCGCGATACATGGACGACCACCGCTGTCACTGTGGCTTCTATTCACATTCGAACGAACATGGTTTCTGATGAGAGCTTCGCTGACCTTCCGGGTGTCAGAACTGGTTATGCACAATCAAGTCGCATCTAGTACAAGGCAATCACTTCGTCAGTGCTTTCTCTTATTTTGTCGCACTTATCTACGCTCGCGAAGCGGCGTTATGGCCTGAAAGTAATGGCTTATATACATACACAGCATTTGGTGGCTGCATCAGCGAACAGCACCACAGATGCATGGACTGTTCTTCAACAGCAGGAAGATCAAAGTGATCCAGGCAGCAGTTGCCACTAGGTCGCATGGCATCCGAGATGGTTGCTTGGATACCAGAGGAGCAGCTATTCTCCCAAACTTCAACAACCGGTCGGTGCCATTCAGTGAACCATTTTCAGTCAGCACTCTCTAACCGTGACTTGAACTTCCAGCCATCTCATGATCTCGCGGGACAGACATATTTGTGTCGTGGCACCAAGATTTCCCGGATCATCGCGACAGAGCTGAGGGCAAGGGCAAAATCACACTCAAAACCCCAGCATGTCCGTCTACAATAATCGGGTTGTCCTCTGACGGACTTCGCTCGAGATATCGGGCCCAGGTGTGCTCTCTGCTCAACGGGATCAGGAGTTTGCGCGACCTGGGCCCTGAACCCTGCTCTCCCTACCTTTGGAAATGCACCGTGTGCACTTCGAAAATTCGGATGTTCTGGTGTCCTAATCTGTGAGACGACAGTCCCAGCCACTAGGGATTATTCTCATTCAGATGTCACTGAGGATACCTGGCTTGCGTTCGAATTAGGCCCGGCCGCAAACTTCCTTCCGACTTGAACATGCGTTAATTCTGAGATAAACTCTGCTAATGATCCTTATCAGGAACGGATCGATCACTTGTGGTTGAATATCCTCACCCACTACTTCCCGCTGCGCGATGGTTTTGGTACCGAGAGGGAAAGGATCAGAGGGACCGTTTCACTACCGGGAATGAGATGGGGGCTCCAGGGCTTCTTTGTCGAGAACGGACGCCACTAATTGCTCGTCCACAAAAGGATGCCATGACATGTGCTGCCGGATACCTCGATATCGCATCTGGTACAATTCGACCGATTTTCACTTACTCGCATCACCCATAGCTCATCAACCAAGGAGGCCGGACCACCAGGTCCGATGAGCCTAGACCTGCTAGCTGAACGTAAAGAGTTTCGCGTCCCGGAAACGAGAAAGGGCTCCAGGGAGGATACGTCCTCTTCGACGAGTTAAACTTGAGTATGTATCGCAAAGATTGACAATAACACAAACACAAACACATGCTAACATCGGGTACAGCCAAGGCAACGCTCGCAGACTCTTGGAAAGACCGATCCGGGTAACTCACCCTGGAGTCTCAACACTTTGACGTCAATTTATCGGAGCATCTTTTACTTTGAGGGTGCTATTGAGGCCTTAGTTTCACAGCATCAACAAAGCAGATGGTCCAATGACAACATATTGATAGACTCCCTTTTGGCCGGAGCATCAAGGGACGGCATGGAATGAGCTGGGACTACGACTCACAGGCCAACTGTGGCGGCAGCTGGCCTGCGTCTCATGCGCCAAGGGAAAGCGAGCTTGCAAAAAGGTACGTCGGATTATGTCCATCGTTCGCTTGAATTGAGTTCTTCTTTTGCGGATTCGCTGACAGCTTATGCAGGTGCCTGCGCCTGAGGAGCGCCAGGTCCGCGCTGCCATCCGGCCCACTCCCCCGACTTGAGGAACTGCTTGTTGCGGTTGCAAGCGTGAATCTCGCCTTTGAGGCCTCTGCCGGTCCGGCGGTGCAGGTCATTGACTCCCCTGCTGCCTCGGTTACTTCGCTGTTCGGCGCGTTCTTTCGTGGGTTGAATTTTCAGAGGGCACTTAGGCCGGTTGGGAGGGAGAGTGCGATTACAGGCCTTTCGTGTTCCCATGTATCAGGAGATAGCGGTTGAATCACAGTCTTGTTTTCTCGCCTTTTACCTGGCTCAGGAGGTCAGCCCCCGGTTAGCCATTGGACTCTATTACACTGGCCCAAAAGTCATCCCGGCGAGATGCTACATAACATGTTGATGCGAGTCTATATGCTTGAATAGAATGCATGACCCCCAGAATGCTTTCCAAAGCGCAGGAAGACGATGCATTCGACTGCCAAAACCATCATTTCTTCGAGGCGCTCGAAGCACCAGGTTTTGTCGCTCCCAGGCGTTTATACTTTCGCGGATCTGAAGCTTGTCAGCGTAGAAAGAAACCATCAAATGAATAGGGAGCGTACCTTTCCGGCTCATCAGAACCTTGTTCCTTGTACCCTTTCCTCCTTCCCAGAAACCGCTTCCTGCCTTTCCAACGAGGACTGCACGGCATATACCGCAGTTCTCGGGTCGATAGACTTGTTCTCTTGAACAGAAACCACTAGGAGCTGTGAGAAGGCGCTGGGCTCCGAAGGCCGTGGGGCATGTACTTACCAGATCATGCGGTTTGCATGTTCGTTCGGATGATCCGTAGCTGCGTCATGGCACCTATATCCGTTAGTTGAGTATCACCATGAAGGAAAAGTTGCAACTAATGGCTGTGGCAGACTCGAGCAGCTATTCTGGGAAAGGCTGACATACTTGTCACATGGGAAAACCTTTGCGCAACAGCTGAACCTGTTGAAAGAGTAAGCGAATGAGAGACGGTCAAAACTTGCAAGGGACGGTAATACCTGAACCACCGATAGCTTTTACCGTAGTGCATACATCGGCCTCGACGAGGTAGCTCCTGACCAGCGACTATACCAAGGGTCTCTTTTGGCTAAAGATTTTCCAAGTAAGACTCTGTGATTCCGGGAACAGATGTATTGCACATACCTTCTTCCGCTGTGGAACACGATCACGAGAGGAGACTTGAGCAAGTTAAGTTGTCAACGCATGTTTGCGGAGGAGAATTACTTTGTCACAACTCACATGCAGCAGATCCTACGATCAAGAACTTGACCTCGGGGATTTTGAAGACTGATGTCCAATGGTTAGTCGGCACTCAGGATTTCACAATCTCTGTGCTTACCCATTTTGCGATGGCACTGACGGCAGGAAGCCGTTGCACTCTCGCCGCGAACTGCAACGACGCCAGGGCCGGGAAATGTGGTCGAGCATTCTGCGCAGGTCGGGATAAAGCTACTGCAAGGATGTTAGAGGCGTTCGATCGGAGTTCGCAGACACTTAAGTGGCTCTTACCTGGGAAGAAGGTCGACAACGGTACAGCCGTCCAAATCCAAATATCCCGCGCGGGTGGAGTGCGCATGCATCAGTTGTCTTCGAAAGCCTGGCAAGAGCGCAGGTTAGTATGGACCTTTTCTCAAGCTTTGAAATGGGATATCATTACCAAGGCTCATTGTGTTGGTACACTTCTTGCATGTCTCGACTTTCGGAGCCAATACATCACTTTTATCCTTGACCTGCGGTATATTTCTCACGTCCAAGTGCTCTTTGCAACGATCGCACTTGACTGTGATGTAGAGACCTACAAGCTCCAGGAGCTCAATCCCATACAGCTCCAGGTAGGGGAAGGAAAGGGCCACACCACATTCAGCCGTCGGTGCGGGCATGTCAGGAACAGGAGCGCCGCCGTCCTCGTCGTCCTCATGCTCATCTGTGAAGCTGTCTTCTGATGTCGAGAATTCTGAGATCTCACTGCCCTCATCACTATCTCCTGCACTCCATTCTGGAGGACGTGGAATGACACGAATATGGGGTTTGTCCTCCACCTCAAACATCGGATTACTTGAGCCAGACGCTGCAGATTCCTCTGGCAGATCCACAGAGCTCGTGGTCGGTTCTTGCTTCGGTTCCGATGCTGATTCTAAGACGGTCGTCGCAAGAGTGTGCATATTGCTTGTCAAGTAGTTGATTTGGGACATCAGGTTAAGCTGAGCGTTTGCCTTCACCCACTGCGAGAAACCAGCCTCTACAGACTGGGCTTCGGGAGATCTTACACCCTGAAGCTCAATTGAACTGGGCTCGAGGGGGTATAGACGAGGCACCAGCAACTTCACTGTCTTGATTGCTCGAAGTGAAACAGGCAGGCGTTCCACTTTGGAGGGTTGCACAGGAATAACGAACGACAATTCATCTCGAGACTTCCGAAATAGGGGCAATCTACCGAGCCGAGCTTCGATTTGTTTTGTCTCGACTGCCCTTCTTCGTTCCGCCTGGGCTTTTTCCTCTGCGGTGTAGACCCTGGACACATTCATGACTGATGGCGTTGGCTTTGGTACTGGTTTTCGTTCTGTTACAGGCGTATCAGTGTGCGATACTCGTACCTGCTCTGGCGCTCGACGCTCCTGTACTTCCCTGCTGCCAACATTAGGAACGAACTTGAGGGTGGGCCCTCTTTCAGTGGTTGTAAGCAAGCGCTCCAGATGCCGGTCGAGGCTGTTCATCCAACTCAACAGAGTTCCTCGGCCACCGGTCCTCAATGTACTGTCGACAATATCATCAAATCCTCTCTCCACATTGGCTTGGAAAGATCTTTCCATGTCCAGATTAATTACTTTTAAGGTAGGTCTTCCTTGTCCGGGATACGACAGCGGCACATGCAGAATGCATTGCAGCTTGTCCAATTCAAATGGGAAATCGGGGTCAGAAGGAGCCATTCCAATCGTTAAGGATGTTCCTGAGCCGTCCGTGGTTTCCTTTGGATGAAACCTTCGTCTCAGCTGGTTGATCTGAAATTCCCTTGGGCTCGAGCTTTCGGCCTTAGAAATTGGCCTTTGGCCGGCCTGGAAGCTTGACTTGGCTCCTGCCTGAGGAACAGCCTTGACTTCCTTTGAGTCATTGATGGAAAGACTTCTAACATCGGTAGCTACACCTTGTAAAGAATTTTGGGAATCTTCGACCTCATTGGCTGAGCCGGGCTGCACTTGCGCCCCAGGCTGTGAACTCTTCCGTTTAGAATTAGCCAAATCGTGGATATACGGACAAGCATCGCCGGCGCGACATCCTTGATGCAAGTTAGTACAGAAGGTAAATGAACGGCAATGAAGGCGAGGTCAGCTGAGAAAGTCTTCTCTGGAGACAGTACATTACGGAAACCTCGACGTATCTGTTCTTCGATCCCACAAGCAACTGTTCCCCGAACAGCTAGTACACGGGCCAATAGCTCCAAGTACAGCTCCCAGGAGGAAAACAACCAGGCTCGAAGATAGCGAATAGTCACAGGCAAACGAAGGCAGCAGGCATAAGCATAGAAATGTGACAGTTACAACGACTTACCCTTTTGGGAAGTGAAGAAGCGGCATTTAGCCCTCTGCTTTGGGATTGACCGATTGGTAGCATCTGGCAGGGTGGACACTGTAGAATCTTGAGGCTGAGTGGTCGCCAGCTCAGCGCCAGTGGCTGATGGTTGACCTATGTCAAAATAAGAGTATCATGGTCAGCGCGTGATCAAAAAGGTTGCGGGCCGCAAGGTCCGATAAGGGGGCCAAGCAGCGCCTTCAGCGCGTACTGATTTAAAGAAAATACACAGTCAGGATCTGCGTGAGAACGGATGTGGAACATTTGTACATCGACAGAGACCTAGGCCTGCTGAGCTTGCATAGAAAGTAAAAGCAAATCCTTCTGCGGGACCATTGATTCCATGATAGGAGACAGTCTTGAAGTCCGAGGTGCAGCCCTACTGTATCTGTAGGGGCTATGAAAATAAAGAGCCTTACCATTGGTAGAGGACCCATGCCTGCTCAAGCCATCAGGCGCTCCAAGCCCGCTGGTGGAGTCCATCCTATTGATCTGGTGTCAGTACAGGGCGAGGCAGTCTTCAATCAGAACGAGTGAGACCTTGTTGAACATGTTGGGGGCCTATCATTTCTACTATCTGAAAAGGTGTCTAGACAGCCATTCCTAGCTAATAGAAATGATGGTGCAGCAACAAGTTCAACAGATCACGCGGCAAGCGATATACATAATACGATACCTTTGCGCAAAGGGCTATGATGACTTGTCAGTCAGTCAATGTTAGGGCTCTTAGGAGAGGGGCGAAGTCCTGTGAATTGTGATCAACCTGCCAACGCAGAGATCCGGTGACCGCGAGATCGACGGTGGCTAAGTGATGTACAGTAGGACAACCGATGCAATAGATTAGAATGCTGCAGTCTTTACGTGAGAAAGGGTCGAAGCTGAAATAGTAATATCAGGCGATGAATGAGGACTCGTATTCTCATCAAGAACACAATATTGCTAATAGAAATGGCAATATACCTCGTCGTTGTAGACTAATGTAGTAGTATCAACAAAAGTGACGATGCTGACTGATGATCGTTTCCAATCCAGGGCGGTCAGGCGACACGTGATGTAAGATTTATGGATTCTCTTCGAATCTTGCAATCAAGAAAACACGCAAAAGATTTTGGATGGGATATCATCCATGGCATCATAATAAGAAGCATTAAACCTCTCCAAGAATGTGTCATCTGCCGTCACTTCTCCTTTGACCTCATATTTTGAAGATGTGGGGAAGGGGATGACTGACAAGTGACAAAGACTCATCTTGACTAACTATGTTTGAGTCACTAAGATGAATCACTCTACGCAGACACGCAACCCGCAATGGCGGATGTCCTGCTCAGACTTTTCGCCAGGGGTCGGCCTCTTCTGGTGCCATCGTAGTCAATCTGCTTACTCGGTATGCCCCTTGATCTTGTCTGGTGTCTGAACACGAACCAAGACTAGCGGCAGACAAGTATCTTGGAGGCTGTGATCTACGGAGGAGGACTCAAAATATAGCGATAGCAACTTATTAATTGTGGTCACTCTACTAGTTCTTGAAGTCAATCAGAACGAGCATCGAAAGTACTCGAGTCAATTGCCTTGTAATCTATCCTCAACAACAAGCTTCAAAGTAGGCGAATTCACCAATCCTTCAATCTCAACGGCCGGATCTTTTTACCGTGTGATAAACACCCACCAACTGTTATTCTGTG